ATACATACTTTATAATTAGAGAGAGGTCCCTGATGAAGAGGTCGGTGTGTTGTTTATTCGGTGCGTTGATGGTTGAATTGGAAGAATCTGTAAAGAAAAGATTCATGTTAGCGATGCAGGCATTGTTATATAGACAGATACATACTTTATAATTAGAGAGAGGTCCCTGATGAAGAGGTCGGTGTGTTGTTTATTCGGTGCGTTGATGGTTGAATTGGAAGAATCTGTAAAGAAAAGATTCATGTTAGCGATGCAGGCATTGTTATATAGACAGATACATACTTTATAATTAAGAGAGGTCCCTGATGAAGAGGTCGGTGTGTTGTTTATTCGGTGCGTTGATGGTTGAATTGGAAGAATCTGTAAAGAAAAGATTCATGTTAGCGATGCAGGCATTGTTATATAGACAGATACATACTTTATAATTAGAGAAGGTCCCTGATGAAGAGGTCGGTGTGTTGTTTATTCGGTGCGTTGATGGTTGAATTGGAAGAATCTGTGAAGAAAGATTCATGTTTATATAGACAGATACATACTTTATAATTAGAGAGAAGAGGTCCCTGATGAAGAGGTCGGTGCGTTGATGGTTGAATTGGAAGAATCTGTAAAGAAAAGATTCATGTTAGCGATGCAGGCATTGTTATATAGACAGATACATACTTTATATTAGAGAGAGGTCCCTGATGAAGAGGTCGGTGTGTTGTTTATTCGGTGCGTTGATGGTTGAATTGGAAGAATCTGTAAAGAAAAGATTCATGTTAGCGATGCAGGCATTGTTATATAGACAGATACATACTTTATAATTAGAGAGAGGTCCCTGATGAAGAGGTCGGTGTGTTGTTTATTCGGTGCGTTGATGGTTGAATTGGAAGAATCTGTAAAGAAAAGATTCATGTTATATAGACAGATACATACTTTATAATTAGAGAGAGGTCCCTGATGAAGAGGTCGGTGCGTTGATGGTTGAATTGGAAGAATCTGTAAAGAAAAGATTCATGTTAGCGATGCAGGCATTGTTATATAGACAGATACATACTTTATAATTAGAGAGAGGTCCCTGATGAAGAGGTCGGTGTGTTGTTTATTCGGCGCGTTGATGGTTGAATTGGAAGAATCTGTAAAGAAAAGATTCATGTTAGCGATGCAGGCATTGTTATATAGACAGATACATACTTTATAATTAGAGAGAGGTCCCTGATGAAGAGGTCGGTGTGTTGTTTATTCGGTGCGTTGATGGTTGAATTGGAAGAATCTGTAAAGAAAAGATTCATGTCAGCGATGCAGGCATTGTTATATAGACAGATACATACTTTATAATTAGAGAGAGGTCCCTGATGAAGAGGTCGGTGTGTTGTTTATTCGGTGCGCTGATGGTTGAATTGGAAGAATCTATTCGGTGCGTTGATGGTTGAATTGGAAGAATCTGTAAAGAAAAGATTCATGTTAGCGATGCAGGCATTGTTATATAGACAGATACATACTTTATAATTAGAGAGAGGTCCCTGATGAAGAGGTCGGTGCGTTTGATGGTTGAATTGGAAGAATCTGTAAAGAAAAGATTCATGTTAGCGATGCAGGCATTGTTATATAGACAGATACATACTTTATAATTAGAGAGAGGTCCCTGATGAAGAGGTCGGTGTGTTGTTTATTCGGCGCGTTGATGGTTGAATTGGAAGAATCTGTAAAGAAAAGATTCATGTTAGCGATGCAGGCATTGTTATATAGACAGATACATACTTTATAATTAGAGAGAGGTCCCTGATGAAGAGATCGGTGTGTTGTTTATTCGGTGCGTTGATGGTTGAATTGGAAGAATCTATTCGGTGCGTTGATGGTTGAATGGAAGAATCTGTAAAGAAAAGATTCATGTTATATAGACAGATACATACTTTATAATTAGAGAGAGGTCCCTGATGAAGAGGTCGGTGCGTTGATGGTTGAATTGGAAGAATCTGTAAAGAAAAGATTCATGTTAGCGATGCAGGCATTGTTATATAGACAGATACATACTTTATAATTAGAGAGAGGTCCCTGATGAAGAGGTCGGTGTGTTGTTTATTCGGCGCGTTGATGGTTGAATTGGAAGAATCTGTAAAGAAAAGATTCATGTTAGCGATGCAGGCATTGTTATATAGACAGATACATACTTTATAATTAGAGAGAGGTCCCTGATGAAGAGATCGGTGTGTTGTTTATTCGGTGCGTTGATGGTTGAATTGGAAGAATCTATTCGGTGCGTTGATGGTTGAATTGGAAGAATCTGTAAAGAAAAGATTCATGTTATATAGACAGATACATACTTTATAATTAGAGAGAGGTCCCTGATGAAGAGGTCGGTGCGTTGATGGTTGAATTGGAAGAATCTGTAAAGAAAAGATTCATGTTAGCGATGCAGGCATTGTTATATAGACAGATACATACTTTATAATTAGAGAGAGGTCCCTGATGAAGAGGTCGGTGCGTTGATGGTTGAATTGGAAGAATCTGTAAAGAAAAGATTCATGTTAGCGATGCAGGCATTGTTATATAGACAGATACATACTTTATAATTAGAGAGAGGTCCCTGATGAAGAGGTCGGTGTGTTGTTTATTCGGTGCGTTGATGGTTGAATTGGAAGAATCTGTAAAGAAAAGATTCATGTCAGCGATGCAGGCATTGTTATATAGACAGATACATACTTTATAATTAGAGAGAGGTCCCTGATGAAGAGGTCGGTGTGTTGTTTATTCGGTGCGCTGATGGTTGAATTGGAAGAATCTATTCGGTGCGTTGATGGTTGAATTGGAAGAATCTGTAAAGAAAAGATTCATGTTAGCGATGCAGGCATTGTTATATAGACAGATACATACTTTATAATTAGAGAGAGGTCCCTGATGAAGAGGTCGGTGCGTTGATGGTTGAATTGGAAGAATCTGTAAAGAAAAGATTCATGTTAGCGATGCAGGCATTGTTATATAGACAGATACATACTTTATAATTAGAGAGAGGTCCCTGATGAAGAGGTCGGTGTGTTGTTTATTCGGCGCGTTGATGGTTGAATTGGAAGAATCTGTAAAGAAAAGATTCATGTTAGCGATGCAGGCATTGTTATATAGACAGATACATACTTTATAATTAGAGAGAGGTCCCTGATGAAGAGATCGGTGTGTTGTTTATTCGGTGCGTTGATGGTTGAATTGGAAGAATCTATTCGGTGCGTTGATGGTTGAATTGGAAGAATCTGTAAAGAAAAGATTCATGTTATATAGACAGATACATACTTTATAATTAGAGAGAGGTCCCTGATGAAGAGGTCGGTGCGTTGATGGTTGAATTGGAAGAATCTGTAAAGAAAAGATTCATGTTAGCGATGCAGGCATTGTTATATAGACAGATACATACTTTATAATTAGAGAGAGGTCCCTGATGAAGAGGTCGGTGTGTTGTTTATTCGGCGCGTTGATGGTTGAATTGGAAGAATCTGTAAAGAAAAGATTCATGTTAGCGATGCAGGCATTGTTATATAGACAGATACATACTTTATAATTAGAGAGAGGTCCCTGATGAAGAGATCGGTGTGTTGTTTATTCGGTGCGTTGATGGTTGAATTGGAAGAATCTATTCGGTGCGTTGATGGTTGAATTGGAAGAATCTGTAAAGAAAAGATTCATGTTATATAGACAGATACATACTTTATAATTAGAGAGAGGTCCCTGATGAAGAGGTCGGTGCGTTGATGGTTGAATTGGAAGAATCTGTAAAGAAAAGATTCATGTTAGCGATGCAGGCATTGTTATATAGACAGATACATACTTTATAATTAGAGAGAGGTCCCTGATGAAGAGATCGGTGTGTTGTTTATTCGGTGCGTTGATGGTTGAATTGGAAGAATCTATTCGGTGCGTTGATGGTTGAATTGGAAGAATCTGTAAAGAAAAGATTCTTGTTAGCGATGCAGGCATTATTATATAGACAGATACATACTTTATAATTAAAGAGAGGTCCCTGATGAAGAGATCGGTGTGTTGTTTATTCGGTGCGTTGATGGTTGAATTGGAAGAATCTATTCGGTGCGTTGATGGTTGAATTGGAAGAATCTGTAAAGAAAAGATTCTTGTTAGCGATGCAGGCATTATTATATAGACAGATACATACTTTATAATTAAAGAGAGGTCCCTGATGAAGAGGTCGGTGTGTTGTTTATTCGGTGCGTTGATGGTTGAATTGGGAGAATCTGTAAAGAAAAGATTCATGTTAGCGATGCAGGCATTGCTTTCGTTATATAGACATATACATACTCTGTAATTAGAGAGAGGTCCCTGATGAAGAGGTCGGTGTGTTGTTTATTCGGTGCGTTGATGGTTGAATTGGGAGAATCTGTAAAGAAAAGATTCATGTTAGCGATGCAGGCATTGCTTTCGTTATATAGACATATACATACTCTGTAATTAGAGAGAGGTCCCTGATGAAGAGGTCGGTGTGTTGTTTATTCGGTGCGTTGATGGTTGAATTGGGAGAATCTGTAAAGAAAAGATTCATGTTAGCGATGCAGGCATTGCTTTCGTTATATAGACATATACATACTCTGTAATTAGAGAGAGGTCCCTGATGAAGAGGTCGGTGTGTTGTTTATTCGGTGCGTTGATGGTTGAATTGGAAGAATCTATAAAGAAAAGATTCATATTAGCGATGCAAGCATTAATGTATAGACAGATACATACTGTTTAATTAGAGAGAGGTCCCTGATGAAGAGGTCGGTGCGTTGTTTATTCGGTGCGTTGATGGTTGAATTGGAAGAATCTGTAAGGAAAAGATTCATGTTAGTGATGCAGGCATTGCTTTTGTTATGTAAACAGATACCAAGACGGGATGTCAAAACTTCTGGACATTTAAATAAGGCTTTGGACAAGGTAACCGAATTGAAGAGGCAAACATTCTGGGCATTTGAATAAGGCTTTAGATTTAGCAATCAAGACAGCTAAGACCTTGGGCCATTGAACAGTGCAACAAAGACGGGGAGCAAAGATCGTGGGCCATTGGGCAGGGCAACAAAGACGGGAGGCAAACCCCTTGGGCCATTGGGCAGAGCAACGTGGGCATTAAGCAGGGCAACAAGGATGGCAAAGATCGTGGGCCATTGGGCAGGACAACAAAAACGGCAAGGCAAAGATCGTGGGCCATTGGGCAGGGCAACAAAGATGACAAGGCAAAGATCGTGGTCAATAGGGCAGGGCAACAAAGACGAGACAGCAAAGATCCTGGAAATTAGACAAAGCAACCAAGACGCGGAGACGAACATTACGGGCATTAAAATAAGGCTCTAGACAAAACAGTCAAAACGGGGAGGCAAAGATGCAGAGCATTCGCTAAGACATTGGAGAACCAGACAACCACCTGGGCATTCATAAATAAGGCATTGGAGGACAAAGACGAGGAGGCAATTAGACAAAACGACCAAGACGGGAGGCAAACGTTATGGGAAATAAAATAAGACTCTAGACAAAGCAACAACCAAGATGGGGAGGCAAGCATTCTGGGCATTGGTCAAGGCAACAAAATCGAGGAGGCAAAAATCCTGGGCATTCAAAGGTCATGTTCACAATGAAGTCCATTGTTGTCGCATAAACTTCTACTAAATATTTATACAAATGAGTGTTTCAAACTTATCACAGTCCTCATGAGAGTCACCTGAAAATAAATAAAGTTCAGTTAAATGAATAATTTTAAATATTTGAAAACAGTAAAAAATATGATATATAGAACGTAAAATGTGCTTTACATGTAATAAAATTGCGTAATTTTAAACAATTCAAACAATTACATTCTTATGCAACGGTTGCAGAAGCTGATTTAAAATGCCCTAAAAAATGATAATATTATAAAACAGAACACTGGAGATTGAGAACAATAACATGCATTGTTGAAATGTGTGATGCATTTTCAGCAAGAACTTTCAGTGTTATGTCGCATTGCGTAATTTGAATTGTTAGCAAACCTGTATATACGAATATTAATTAACTAATAATAAGCGAAATAACATCAAAACTACGAGCAAGTTTTCATTTAGATCACGAATATGATTTTCAATTTATTGATTTGTTGAAAGAAATAAATCGAACGCGTCAATTCACACTATTCAATTATCGTACACTCAAAAATGAAAACACTTGGGCACAATAATGCACTACACAATAAAAATCCATCACTGTCTTGAAATACTAAAACACAATTAATTATTCACCGACAAATTTTTCGCTTTTTTTTGTTTTTTTTCTTGATTTTTCTCTTCGATGTTAACTCCATGGCGGCCGGCAAGAGAAAGGACAAAATCCGGGTTACCGCGCCAATGGTACGGCAGCAGCGCCATCTCTCTGCGCGTCACGCGAAACAGACTTTGACGTTAGTTTGTCGGTGGCGATGGCGGCAAATTCAAACCGAACGAATTGTTAAAATCGTTGTTGTTTTTAACATAGTTGTTAAATAGTACCCTAATTATACTGTTTATCGTTTATAATAATACTTTCTCATATCCTTTCATTTGAATAAATTACAATTTCTAAGAACTATATAAACTGAATTGCAAAGATAAAATTGAAGTATATGAGTGTGCTTTAGAATTAAATTACAGTTAAAATTTAAATTTGAAATTTGTATGCATAATTGAAATAAATCTGAATTTATTGTTTAAAAATGTTGTAAATTGTCAGAAAATGTCGCGAATTATTTCACAATAATGTAGCATTTCTGAAAATATTGTAGGTTGTCTGAAAATATTGCAAATTGTGTGAAAATGTTACATTTTGTATGAAAATGTTATAAATTATTTGAAAATGTTGTAATTTGTATAAAAATGATGTAAATGTATGAAAATGCTCTTCTTCTTTGATATCTATATGATACCTATATATATATATATATATATATATATATATATATATATATATATATATCAATTAACAACAACAGAATATAATTATTTGAATCCACTTATGACCATTAACTTAATAAACTGAATTGCAAAGATAAAATTATTTAATTTGAAGTATATAAGTGAGCTTTAGAATTAAATTACAGTTAAGATTTAAATTTAATGCTTAATTTAAAGAAATCTGAGTTGTTGCATATTGTGGTATATAAATTGTTGAATGTTGTCTAATGACTATTGTGGTATATAAATTGTTGAATGTATTGTCTGAAAATGTTGTGAATTATATAAAATTGATATAAATTGTCTGAAAATAATCTAAATCAACTGAAAAAATTGCAAATTATTCGAAAATATTGAAATTGTATAAAAATGATGTAAATTGTCTGAAAATGATCTTCTTCTTTAATGATATCTATATTTATGTTTATATAAAAATGGATTATGATTAAAGTAAAAAAAAACTTACATTCTTATCCATTTTCCATCTTTATCGTAGTGTCCAAAACCAGTTTGCTTGCTATTACCCTAGAAGAAAATGGATCATAATTAAATACTCAATATTTATATATTTATATTTATATTTATATTTATATTCATATTTATATTTATATTTATATTTATATTTATATTTATATTTATATTTATATTTATATTTATATTTATATTTATATTTATATTTATATTTATATTTATATTTATATTTATATTTATATTTATATTTATATTTATATTTATATTTATATTTATATTATAAATATTAATATAATATAATTATCTTAATCCACTCATGAATATTAACTTGCTCCATTTATAATTATTAACTGGTACCATTTATAAATCATCAATTTATCTTATTTATAATTATTAAAAAATGATTCCATTTATGATAAATATACTGCAGGTATTTAACGATACTAATTTTTAATAGAAATTGATTCATGCAGATTTATTACAAATTTTTAAATCAAAATGTTCAAAAACTGATTTTTCTGTTACTTATTTAATTATTTATAACTTTATTATTGTTTTATGCAGAATTATGAACTTGTTTCATTTATAATTACTTACTTTTGAAAAAAAAATTCAACAGTCAATTACAAAAAATTGTGCCAGGGAAACTTTACCAAAAACTCACCAGGTCGTCCTAAGCTGAAAAATATATACATATATACTTTTTCCAAATGTTGGTCTCATTCGATTCAGAATAGCTTGAAACGTCGAGAAAACATAAAATTGGCGAATTGGAGAAAATAACCTTCTCCTACGGGAAGTTAAAAAATATCTAAAAAAAAAAATTGCATGGCAATAGCATATAAAAATGTATAATTTATTCATCATTATATATAACCTAGCTGTATTAGTTTGCATGAGAATTGGATATATAAATGTATATATTGATTTATACATGATTATACATATACTAGCTGTCTCGGTTAGTATGGGAATTGGATATATAAATGTATATATTGATTTATACATCATTATATATGGCCTAGCTGCATTAGTTTGTATGGGAATTGGATATATAAATGTATATATTGATTTATACATCATTATATATGGCCTACTTGCATTAGTTTGTATGGGAATTGGATATATAAATGTATATATTGATTTATACATCGTTATATATGGCCTAGCTGCATTAGTTTGTATGAGAATTGGATATATAAATGTATATATTGATTTATACATCATTATTTATAACCTGGCTGTATTAATTTTGTTGAAAAATAGATATATAAATGTATATATTGATTTACTCATCATTATACGAGTATATGGTCTAGCTGCCTTAGTTTGTATGGAAATTGGATATATAAATGTATATATCGATTTATACATTATTATTTATAACCTAGCTGTACTAATTTTGTTGAAAAATAGATATATAAATGTATATATTGATTTTTGCATCATTATTTATAGCCTAACTGCATTAGTTTGTATGGAAATTGGATATATAAATGTGTATATTGAATTTCCCATCATTATGTAAAGCCTAGCTGCCTTAGTTTGGTTAAAAATGTAATGTATATATTGAAATATATATGAGTGTATTTGGCCTAGCTGCATCAGCTTGTATGGAAATTGGATATATATATATGTATGTATTGATTTATACATGATTATACATATAGTAGTTGTCTCAGTTTGTATGGAAATTGGATATATAAATGTATATATAAATGTATATATTAATGTTTTCATCATAATTCATAGCCTGGCTGTATTAATTTGGTTGAAAATTAGATATATAAATGTATATATTGATTTATTCATAATTATTTATAGCTTAGCTGCCTTAGTATGTATGGGAATTGGATATATAAATGTATATATTGATTTTTACATCATTATTTATAGCCTAACTGTCTTAGTTTGTATGGAAATTAGATATATAAATGTGTATATGGAATTTTCAATCATTATGTATAGCCTAGCTGCCTTAGTTTGGTTAAAAATGGAATGTATAAATGTATATATTGATTTTTGCATCATTATTTATAGCCTAGCTGTATTAGTTTCTATGGGAATTGGAGATATAAATTTATATATTGATTTTTTCATCATTATATTAATTAGCTATATTAATTTGTATGAAATTTGGATATATAATTATATATATATATTATATGGATATATATATATGGATAGATTATATATGGATAGATTATATATGGATAGATTATATATGGATATATACATTATAATAGTTGTTGATTAAACGATAAATGAATAAAAACAATGACATATCCTTAAGGGTATTTATTTAAAAATAAACCAATAATACAAGCCAGAAATAAAA